AAAAGTATGAGGAACGACCAAAGATGAAGCTACTGAACTTGGCTGGCTGGAGGCTTCTGAGTTTCTATATTCATTTGTTGGCATGACAAAATATCGAGGACAAATCTGAAAACTTCCCGCCAAAACTATCTCTTAAATATAAAGATTGGTTCAAATACACTATTGTCTGGAACAACTTAGACAGAGTTCCTCCTTGAATCACTCCCTATCTAAGACCCGTGGGTTCTTAGAATGCCAGGAGCACCTCTAGGACACCATTCTGGAATGAAGCCTCATGCTCCATCAGTCCCATGGTGGCCTTAGTACAAATATTTTGGGGGGACAGGCTGCATTCTCTAATGCAATGGTTCTCAAAGTGTGACCCCTGGACCAGCAGCATCAGCCTCACAGGAGAACTTGCTGGTAATGTAAATTTTGGGGCCCATCCAGATATACTGCAACAGAAGCTCTGGGATAGGTCTGTGTTTTAACAAGCCTTTGAGTGATGCTGATGCATATTAGAGTTTGAGAACTCTAAGTCTAGTCAGGTCCAGTCAGGCATCAGAAATCACACCCATGATTAAAAAGAGAAAATATAATAGAAAGAACTGTTAACTAGGTATAAAGTCCTAACTAGGTAACCAAAAAGGCAAATAGGGACCCCCAAGGTCTCAAGGAGACAACTGGAGAAAGCAGCGGCACTCCTAGGGCTAAGGGAACAAAGGCAAAAGATTGGAATTATTAAAACTAGATGCTGATAGGAAGGGCCACTGGGAAGGGTCCATGGTTCAGTTGGTGCTGTTCTCAGGACTCAGTCACTCAGTGGACTAGATCCAGGCTTCTGAGGAAGGGGCCCTGATGGGGCCTGTCTGAGGGAGTGTAAAGAAGCTGGTTCTGTGAGTGCTGAATAAACTGCAAACGCCTGCTATCTGCTGCTGACACAGAGAATCCATGGTGCTCAGTCTAGCACCCCCTATCAACAGCAGCTGGCAAAGCTGAACCAGGATTAACAGGGTCTGAGTCCCAGGCCCCACCCCAGAGCAGGGTTTAGAGTTCAGAGAGGATACCTTAATAACTGGCAAGGTTATTTGGAGTTATTATTTCCAAGGAGTCTTATGTGTTCTCAGAACAAATATCCCTTTGGGGGCAGGCTGCCCTATGCCTAGAAATCTGACACCCACAGTACATTGAGCGGTTTACAGTGGCTCCCTCGTGTGTGTGTGTGTGTGTGTGTGTGTGTGTGTGTGTGTGTGTGTGTGTGTGTAGGAGGTGGGGGAGTGTCCTTCAGACAACAGGATGCTCTTTCCTTGGCCTCTTCTCCTGGTGAAATGGCCAGAGATTCTTTTCACCAGTGCAGAGGATAAAAGAGTGAAAAGGAACAGCTGAATGAGCAGGGATTCTTGGTGAGGGGAAGGAATTAAAAGCTACTGGGGGCTCAGGTTCTTTTGCTGCTTTCGAGAATGAAATATGCAGCAGAGCGGTCTGCTTCTATCTTCCTGGACATCATTATTCCCAAGAAGTGATAACTCCTTGGATTTCCACAGAGTTGGGATGGGTCTGACAAGCATGCTCCATGGCTATTTCAGAGAGCTGGCTCCTAAACTTTAAAAAGAGAAAAGCATATTATACTTGAAGCCTCCTCTGACAGCTGGCAGCATCGCCTCCAGTTCATGTTGTTCATCTCTGCTTCAGGCTCTATCAACCCTCTCCCCCCACCCCCTCCCCCATCCTATCACTTTCAAAGCAGCACAAAACTGAGATATGTCTCTCTTTCTACCACACTCTGGCTCTTCCAGGAAACGGAATGCAGGAGAAATGAACACCCATAACTTTAAATGAAATTGAAAATAAATTTTGAGGGGGAATAAAATCAATCACTTTCCAAGGAGTGGGGAATAATGAGGATGTTTTCATAAGGGACATGGATGCTTCTTGCTTCTCAGTCAGCTGTAGCCCACACCTCTATCATGTCTCAGGAAATCCCAAGAAGAATTTGTTGGAAAGTTCTGATAATAAAACACTTTTTTACACAAAGAAAATAAAGGTAAAAAGAGGATTCATTGTGTGCTGGATCTTAGATCACTCTTCCTTGGTAATTTTTCAGGGTTTGAGATTGATGCCAACTCTAAACGTGTCTTTAATGCATTTGCATTCCCGTAGAATGACTGTTTTTTCTCAGTTCACACTCAGCTCTGAATCCAAATCAACTTAAAATAATTATTCCAAGGTAAGCCTACTTCTGTTCAACTTGCTTCTTTATACAGAAGGAATAGTCAGATTAGTTCAACATATCATCCAACTTTGGAAGGATCCCTATGGAATGGAAGATAAACTCTAAACTCTTTATCCTGGTATTCAAAGTCATCCAGAGTCAGGCTACAACCTTCTCAACCTTTCTTTTTTAAAATTTTTTTATTGACTTCAGAAAGAAGATCAGGGAAAGAATGATAGAAACATCAATAATCTGAGAGAATCATTGATCAGCTGCCTCCTGCATGCCCCCAACTGGGGATCAAGCCCACAACCCAGGTATGTGCCCTGACTGGGAATCGAACCATGGTTCATGGTTCATAGGTTCATAGCTCCTGGTTCATAGGTTGATGCTCAACCACTGAGCCATGCCAGTCGCACCACAACCTTCTTTCTTACTGTCTCCAACCATCTGTCACTTAAACATGTGCAAGTTTATGTTCATCAACTTTCTTCCAACTTATATATTTTAATTTTTATCAAAATGCTACCCAGCCCTGGCCAGTGTGGCTTAGTTGGTTGAGCATCATCCCGTGCACCAAGAGGTTGCCTGTTCTATTCCTCCCTCTCCCTTCCTCTCTCTCTAAAAGCCAATAAAAACATATTTTTTTAAAAATGATACCCAACCTCCCAGCCCACCTCTTCTATGAGGCCTTCTCCAACTACACCAGCCCACCTATGGCCTCTTTCCTCTCCTGTACTATGTAGCATCAACTAACTCTGAAGATGATTGGCAATTCATCATGTCTTTGTTCCTCAGTGAGAATGTGAGATACCAAGACAAGAACTATGTTTTATACAGCCCCTGAGCTCCTAATACATCTTAAATTTGGAGCATAAATATAAATGTATGTGTCAGTATTCTTGGTTGCAAACATCAGAAACTGACAGCAAAAAATAATAATAATAATAAGGTTCCTAAGAATCTCACAAGAGATATGCAAATTCTTTATTTTAAGGGCATCAATAAATAACTTTAATAAACAAAGCAATGCATCATGTTCATGGGTGGGAAGATAAAATAGTAAAAAATGTGAATCTGCGGAAACTAAGATGGCGGCATAGATAAACACCGGGAAATTGCCGCTCCCACAACAATTGAAAAATACCCTAAAGGACAGAGTGGACATCACCCAGAACAACAGGAAGCCTGGCTGAGTGTAAATTCTACAACTAGAAGGAAAGAAAAGCACACTGAGAGGAGCTGCGGAGGTGAAGTGCAGAGGTATGGCGGCTCGCGCGCGCGCGCGCGCGGGCGGAAAGGGGGTGGCACCTGAGGACGCGGCTGTTTTTTTTTTTTGAATCACAAGCTCCGGACTGCTCTGAACTCCGGTTCTGGGAAGTCTCTGGGGACTCAGGACTCATACGGGGAGGAGCGGACTCTCGGGCAGTGGGTGAACTGGAGTGCGGCTTTCCCTCAGAGGTGCTAGCAGCCAATACCAGGACACTGAGACGCGCGACTCCGACTCCGAGACGCGCGACTCTGGGCGGAGAATCGGCCATAGCTGCTTTCTCTGCTCTTTGACTCCCTGAGACCCCGCCCCACCCAGGCTGCGGCAGAGGCTTTTGCATGTGAATGTACCTAACTGCAGCCAAACCAGGCAGACCCGGAACTTCCAAGAGAAGGCCCAAGGCCCCGCAGCGCTTGCATTGCGTCACAGCTGAGCCTCTTCGTGGCTCCTGCTGTGTGGCCTCAGGCAGAGGCTGAATTAGCACCTCCTTAGATCCAGGAGCCACTGTACCCAGTGGTCAGAGGGGGACCATCCAGATTGCAATTCCTCAGATCCATAAGGGACACACTCAGGGAGCAGACTCAGTGAGCACCAAAGCCCCACTGAAGCAAGTCTTGCCCCAGAAGGGTGTCTTCAGCACAGAAGTTCTCCCACTCCAGACACAGCTGATTCTCACAGCCAATTGGCCTGGAGGTCAATTCCTCCCAGTAATCCTACAACAACCAAGGCACCAAGAGTGCATCAAGAGTGTCTACCCCAGGTAACTGGGGAGGCTGAGCTACTGGGCCCTACAGGACACCTGGCACGCAGGGCCACTCTATCAACACAGGGAAGCTGCCAAAATGCGGAGACAAAGAAACAGGTCACAAATGGCAGAAATGGAGGAAAGCAAACGACTGGATATAGAGTTCAAGGCCACGTTTATAAGGTTTTTCAAGAATTTTATGGAAACCGCCGATAAATTTAATGAATCCCTCAATAAGTATAGTGAGACCATGGAGGACATGAAAAAGGACCAACTAGAAATTAAGCATACACTGACTGAAATAAAGAATAATTTACAGAGATCCAACAGCAGACAAGAGGATCCCAAGAATCAAGTCAAAGATTTGAAATACAAAGAAACAAAAAATACCCAACCGAAAAAGAAAAAAGAAAAGAGATTCCAAAAATATGAAGATAGTGTAAGGAACCTCTGGGACAACTTCAAGCGTACCAACATCAGAATTATAGGGGTACCAGAAGGAGAGAGAGGGCAAGATATTGAAAACCTTTTTGAAGAAATAATGACAGAAAACTTCCCCTACCTGGTGAAAGAAATGGACTTACAAGTCCAGGAAGCGCAGAGAACCCCAAACAAAAGGAATCCAGAGAGAGATAGAAACTAAGAGGAGCTCAAGCCGTTATAGTCTCGCCTTCAGAACTTCCAGAAAACATCACAGCCCTGCCAATACCTTGATTGAAGCCCAGAAAAACGTCCAACCCACAGAACGGTCAAACTTCACGTGAAGGCCGGCCTTCGAGCGACAGCGACGCAAGATGGCAGCCAGCACGGGCCCGGGAGTAAAAGTCCCTCGCCATTTTAAACTGTTGGAAGAACTGGAAGAAGGCCAAAAAGGAGGAGCTGGCACAATTAGTTGGGGTTTAGAAGATGACGGAGACATGACACTTACAAGATGGATAGCGCTGATAATTGGGCCTCCAAGAACAGTTTATGAAGACCGAATATACAACCTTAAAATAGAATGTGGACCTAACTACCCTGAAGTACCCCCCGTTGTAAGATTTGTAACAAAAATTAATATGGATGGAGTTAATAGTTCTAATGGAGTGGTGGACCCAAAGGCTGTATTGGTGCTAGAGAAATGGAATCGTGCATATAGTATCAAACACGTCCTGCACGAGCTTCAGCATCTAATGATGACGAGTGAAAATGTGTCACTCCCTCAGCCTCCTGAAGGGCAGTGTTACAGCAACTAACCAAAAAGAAAACCACAGGCCCGCCCCTCCCCCATTCGATTTAAGCAGTCTTCATTTTCCACAGCAGTAACCTTTCTAGATAGTCTTGTAGACATCAGAGTACTGGAAAGGAAGCTCCTGTCCAAAGGCAGTTTATCTTAAGATACCATAAGTGATAGTAATTTGTTGTCCGTTTGAAATATATAAATTGTGCTATAATAAATCATCCTGTCAAGTATAACCACGGTCCACATAGTTGAACTTCTGGGATCAAGAAAGTAGATTTCAATTGATTACCATCATAACTGGTGGGGCACATCTAACTCAACTGTGAAAAGACACATCACACAATCACCTTGCTGCTGATTACATGGCCTGGGGGGTCTGCCTTCTCCCTGCCCTGCCCCCACCCCCTTCCTCCCTGCAACAGCCCTCCAGCTTGGGGTGGCTTGTTAGAGTCAATGTGAAGGTTTCAGGTCACAGCCTGTAGGACTATTGCTTGGTGTGTGTGGATGCTTTGCACCCCTGGTTTCTTAAGTCTTAAATGATGCCCCTCCCCCTTCCAAGCCATCATCCTTTTCCTATTCTCTCCTACCACCCTTGGTCGAAGCATAGATTGTAACCCCCTCTGCTCCCCTCCGAAATTGGCCTTTGGTGAGGAATTCGGGGCCTTCCCACCACCTATATATCGAGGGGTGCCGCTTCCTCCTTCCTCTTCTTCAGATCCCTTTCTTGCACCATCACCACCCAACACTTTCCATGACAATCCCTTGCTTTGGCCAGAAGCCCTCGGGTAAGGTTGGAAAGAGTCTCTGACCTCCCTCGTTTAGTTTTGGAACCACATTCATTTATTCTCCAGCAGCCCAGGAAATGAAAATTGGGTCCGCAGCCCTGCCGCGCTCTGATGTCATCAGCTGATATGTTTGTGTTTTAAGCTCAGGAAGGCCACAGAAGACACTTGTAAGCACATGTGATCCCTCTGAATGATTTTTGTTGTTGTTCCTATCATTGCTTTTGCTTTTACAAATTAAAGTTTTAAACAGGAAAAAAAAAAAAAAAAGGAATCCAAAGAGGACCACACCAAGACACATCATCATTAAAATGCCAAGAGCAAAAGATAAAGAGAGAATCTTAAAAGCAGCAAGAGAAAGACAGTCAGTTACCTACAAGGGAGTACCCATACGACTGTCAGCTGATTTCTCAACAGAAACCATGCAGGCCAGAAGAGAGTGGCAAGAAATATTCAAAGTGATGAATAGCAAGAACCTGCAACCAAGATTACTTTATCCAGCAAAGCTATCATTCAGAATAGAAGGTCAGATAAAGAGCTTCACGGATAAGAAAAAGCTAAAGGAGTTCATCACCACCAAACCAGCATTATATGAAATGCTGAAAGGTATTCTTTAAGAAAAGGAAGAAGAAAAAGGAACTCTTACCATTTGCCACAGCATGGATGGAACTGGAGAGCGGATAAATACCACAGGATCTCACTCATTTGTGGAATATAATGAACAACATAAACTGATGAACAAGGACTGATCCAGAGATGGAGAGGCATTGATTGGACTGTCGGGCCTTGGAGGGAAGGTAGGGGAGGGTAGGGGTAAGGGGGAAAGATCAACCAAAGGACTTATATGCAAGCATATAGGCCTAACCAATGGACACGGACAACGGGGGGGTGAGGGCATGAGCGGGTGGGGGGGGAAGAGGGTAACGTGGGGACAAGGACACATATGTAATATCTTAATCAATAAAAAATATATTATAAAAAAAATGTGAATCTGCAAATTAAAATATCATTTTAACATAATTCCACAGTTTTTCATGGACCTTCACAATCAAACTATAAAATCTATATGAAAGAACAAAAGCCAAGTCAATTTTGAAAAAGAAGAATGAGGATAAATAAACTCATTTACCAAATATTTAATATTTTTATGTTTGGTGATAATGATGAATGCAGTGTGGTATTGACACAAGAATATACAAAGGTCAATAGAACATAATAGAGGCCCTTGCAACAGTCCCATTCATACCTGAAAATATGACATGTAACAGAAGAAGCACTACAGATTACTGAGGAAACAATGGTCTATGTATTTATTAATGGTGTTAATGGAACAGCTCATTACACATGAAATTTAAACCCTACTTTATAACTATACAAAAAACTATTTGAGGTGGTCTCAAGGCCTAACAGTGACAATATAGGAGAATCTGCTTATGATTTGAGGCTAATGAAGATTTTTCACCCAACATACAAATCACAAAAATAGAGATTAACAAATTCAACTACATTAAAAGTTAACACTTCTGTATATCAAAAGACACCATTACGAAATATAAAGTCAAGCCACAGGCTGAGGGTATGGTCAATGTTCAAAGAATGAATACCCAGAATTTATAACTCACTCCTACAAATCTGTAGGAAAAAGACAAACAACTCACCAGGGAAAAAAACTGGGCAAAGGATGTGATTTACTGAAGAGGAAATCCAAACACCCAATAATCATTTATATAATCTATTTCTCAAGTAATCAGGGATGTGCAATCAAAACAAAATACCATTTCCCATCTGTCAAGAATTGTTTTTAAAATGTTGCTAAGTATGATAACTATATTAAGAGAACAATAGAACACAGAATTATTACACAGTGGCAGGAATGCAAATTGAGGCAACCACTGAGGAGGGTAAAAATACATATATGCAGTGACCCGAAATTCTACTCTGAACAAAGCAATGCATCATGTTCACCGGTGTGAAGACAAAATAGTAAAAAAATGTGAATCTGCAAATTAAAATATCACTTTAATGTAATTCCACAGTTTAATGTAAATCACCAGGTAATGATCCTGGGTGATGCTTTGAAGGTCAAGTTACTAAAAATTACCTAAAAGTGACAGTCAACTTCCCTTTCCAGCAGAGGTGGCATATGAGCTAGAAGCTCAACCAAATGTGCCCTTCACGCCTCAAGGTCTTTCAAGAGGACTCTAACACCACCACGTATTCATTCCAATGGTTCTCAGAAAGTCCTAAGACACTTAGCACTTATAGCAATCTTGATTTTTAACTAGTGAGTAATAACATTCAATAGTATTCCATGTCTTCAGTGGCCACTTAGCACCTCCCTATCAGGACACAGATATGATTTAAATGAGCTTAACATTCAAGGAAAAAAATAAACGTTAACACCAGGGAAAAGGACAGCCGGGGAATGAAAATGTCATCATGTCCACAATTTTAAATCTGCATCTCACCTGAGAACACCTTCAAATAGAACCAGGTTTGCAAGAGTAAAAAGCAGGCTTAGTGATTGACATGGAATGCTTGGAGCCCACAGTAATTCAGGTCCCACCTTTCCAACCAGAACGAATTAATTATTCTATCCACTTTATCCCAAGAAAGAGAGAGGCAAAGGCGACCGCAAAAGGTAAAGCAAGATTTCCAACAAGGAGCCTATCTTTTGTCCTTTGCTTTTAGTGGCCTCCAATGTGACCTACTAAAGGTATACCCTCGGCCCCAAAAAGGAAAAAGAAACTATAGCTTTGTATTCCCAACGCATGTATCTTTGCTTGCAATCTTGCATTCAATTTCAGTGTAATATGAAGAGGCCTATTCTTTTACAAAAAGTTCCCTCTTCCCACCAGGCTTGTTTGTTATTTTATGTATTTCTGCATCATTTGTAGACTCTGCTTTGATCTGCATTCCTTCTGGATGTGGGGTTTCCTTTTCAGCTACCAAAAGGAAAGCTGGTTTGTTTGAAAATCTGTTTATTTGGATTTTTCGCTAGCCTCAAGTCCGTGTCTTTATCAGGATGCGCAGAGCTCCGTGTCTGCCAGTCTCAGACATCACTCATTTTCCCTAAGGAAAAGGCAACTTGAAAATAATACAACATGCCGTTTGTATTTGGAATATTCTGGAAAAGAGGCTTTAGAGGTTTCAGTTTAAAAGCTTAAGAGAAGTGATTCTTTACCAGATATATTTAATCGGCAATGGATCTTTCATGTTTAGACTGGAAAAAAAAAAAAAAAAAAAAAAGAGTTTCCTCTCTCATTAGTTCTCAATTTTCTCAGCACTCATATACATAACCAACTGCGTCTACATTTACTGGTACAAACCTGCACCTTCCACAGAGTGAGGAAATCTATGGCAGTGTGGCACCTCTCTTCCTGTCTAAGCCAGCACAATCATGTGGACCTAGGAAAAGAGAAAGTCAAAAAAATCAATATCATTATGTCACTGTTTCTGGAATCCTTTTAAAAGGAAAGTCAATGCTTGACTCAGGAATAGCTAGTAGGTTGCAACTAGCATCCCAACTCTGATTAATGAGCATAGGCTGCGTGAAGAACATTGGGCACATCGGGGCTCCTTGGGAAAAGGGAGCCACGGTCACGTGATTAGGGATGCTGGCCATGGCATGGAGGATGTAACACACACAAGTCATCGTTGACTAAATGCAACTAAAGGCACAGTGTGAGTATCACATAATTGTCTTTGATGTGTATACCTGGTGGATGGGGGTGGGATTACTTGCTGGGGCTGGGGCTGGGTCATGGGCTCCTTAAACCAATCCGATAGCTTGCTGCTTATTACCTATACGTGATATTGGCTCTCTACCAACATTTCTTCCTATGAACAGTTCTTAGGAAGACTGGAGCAGTCTATAGACAAAACATAGGGAGGAAATAAAGGCTCTCTGAATGGGGAAGACAGCGGACACTCTCCCACATCCTCCAAATGCCTCTTTGACAGAGAAACAGGATGTGTTCCCCAAAGAGCTTATGAGACAGTCACCTCATGGGATGGCAGTGGCCAGGACCCTCTTTTGAGGCTTAGCCAGCAGGATTCAATCTGGGAATCCAAACAAACTTAGGAAAACAATAGGCAGGACCAGGAAGGAATGGGAATTATTTGTCTGTTTTTAATAGAATCCTGCCTTCAAATTGCAGCTTTGCTCTAGGAAAAAAAAAAAAATCACAGTTTTCTTTAAAGTTACACATGAACAATTTCTGGCTTCAAA